AAGTTGGATCTTGCACTTTATTATGCAAAGCAGCTGTTGAAACTTGAAGCCGGGTCTAGTGTTAAAGGCTACCTTCTTTTGGCTCGAGTGCTATCAGCACAAAAACAGTTTATTGATGCAGAGGCAATAATTAATGCTGCTCTAGACCAAACTGGGAAATGGGACCAAGTAGAAGTGCTGCGAACAAAAGCTAAACTTCAGATAGCACAGGGCCAATTAAAGAATGCCATAGAGACATATACCAATCTTCTTGCTGTTCTCCAAGTTCAGAATAAAAGCTTAGGTGCTGGGAAAAATTTTGTAAAGGTATGTTTGTTAATTGACACGCACATTAGTTAACTTCCATTCCATGATATTCTTTCCATGTGAAGTTAACATGGGGCAAAAGAGGAAGAAAAAAAAGAAAGAAAAGAAACTAGACTTCAAAAATTTCTTGGAATATAAGAAAGTTTGATGCATTGAGATAAACAAACACAAATTTCTCAGGAATTTTTTGGCATTAACCTTAATCATCCATTTAGTATCATTAACCTGCCTGTAAAGGAAAAGATTTGAATCTACATTACTTTTTCATTCCTCTAGGTTTATTGCCAAAGAAAAAGGGTCACCGACCATGTGATAGGTCCAGTTGAATATCCAAAGTCCTAAAGAAGCAGGCAAAAAATCAGTAGTGTTTCATTTGAATCATATTATTGTGCTGTAACTAAGGGGGTTTTTGTGGTATGCTATTTAGAGTTGAATAGGATGGAGGAAATGTTGTGTCTCCTTGCTAATGCAAGTTTTGCAAAAGATTATATAGCCTAACCGATGCTTCATTTCTTTATAAAGAAATTGGAAGAGAATGAATCATGTTTCTTTCATAACTTTGTTGTGATGCATATTGTATTATTTACTTCAGCTAACTTCGGAAGCTTCCCTGTGTATAATATAATTTTATGTTGTGTTTGCATGCACATGCATGAGAAAGGGAGATGTATTTCTTTTTGTTTTGCAGACTAAGGTAAACCAGAATAGAAGCTTGGAAATGGAAACATGGCATGATCTAGCTAATATGTATTCCAGCTTGTCTCAATGGTGGGATGCTGACGTCTGTCTTTCAAAGTCCAAGGCTATCAGTCCTCATTCTGCTTCAAGATGGCACTCTGCAGGTACAAATACACATCATTCATACCCATTGATAATTTTGTTCTTGATTTGTTAATTTCTATATCGTATTATGTGTTTTTTCTTCTTACCATCTTAATCACCCGTACTTCCAAAGCTAAAGCCTATTGCTGCTTTTGCTTGCTTTCTATTGTCTCTTACTCTCCCTCTATTTAAGCTTGAATCAAGAGTAACTTAAGAAAAGTAAGAAAATGCTTTCTAAAATGTAAGAAATGCTTTCTAATATTCTACTTATTTTATTTATGAGTTGCTGTGTTAGCTTCAATAATATACACATGTTTCAGTCCCAAACGCAGGGTAAACCATATTAAAACTGCCAACATGGTGATGATATTGTAAGAGCCATAGTCTATCTTTTGATTCTTGTTTCATGTATATGCACAAGAGTTTAACGTTAGCATTGGTCATGTCTATGGCTGTGCAGATATTTTGTTATTTTTGCAGTATCAATATGCAAGTTAAAGATCCAACTGTTTTCCACCCAGATTTTGACCTGATAATCATCAATCCCTGACTACTTTTCTTAGGTTTACTATTTGAGTCTAAGGGGCTCCACCAAGAAGCCTTGAGATCATACAGGAATGCATTAGATGTTGAGTCAACACACGTGCCAAGTTTGATCTCTACTGCTTGTGTCCTCAGCCAACTCGGCGGTCAGTCACTGCCAATAGTGAGGAGCTTTCTCATAGATGCACTTCGGCTTGACCGAACAAACCCCTCGGCCTGGTACAATCTAGGGCTTGTTTACAAAGCTGATGCTGGTGCATCAGCAGTAGAAGCTGCTGAATGCTTTCAGGCTGCTGCTTTTCTTGAAGAAACTTCTCCTATTGAACCCTTCAGATGAGCACTTTTTTCTACCATAACCCATCTAAGAACCACTGAATGTAAATTGTTTCTTGGTTGAGCAATTTATACATGATTTGGAAAATTGAAGAAGAATATAGAAAAAGAGATCATCTGCAATTAACCGTATTCCCAATGCTTCCAGAGATTCAAGATTCTAATTTTCTCCGCAATCAATAGGAAACCTTATTAGCTTCTAAGCAAAATAAAACTATAAAGAATAATTATTTTCTCTGTTCTTTAACTCCTTTCTTCAGATATTCAACAAATCGATCAAGGTGACTATCATGAAGCTCCAGGTCCCCAAAGACCCTCTCTGCTTCTCGAGCTTTGATCCTCAGTCTCTCTCCTTCCTCACACACCATGGCAAGTCTCAAAGCTTGGGCAACACCTTCCCTGCTGAAAGATCCATCCTCTCTCCTCTCTACTTCCACAGCCAAACCTTTGTCCACCAAGACCCTAGCATTCAAGGGTTGATCTATGATAAATGGTAGTAAAATCAGAGAGTACCCAAACTGTAGTGTTTCTATGACAGATCCCCATCCAGAGTGAAACAGAGAGCCACCAATTGATGTGTGACCCAAGATCTCGGACCGTGGCGCCCACCCGAACTGCACCACTCCTCTGTCATGTGTACGATCAGAAAAGCCTGGAGGCAGAGCATCATGATCACCATCAGCCCAATCTGGCTTCCTAAGTGCCCACAGAAATGGCAACTCTGATAGCTCCAACCCATGTGCTATTTCATGAACTTGTTCTTTGCTCAGCTTGCACTCACTTCCAAACCGCACGAACACCACTGACTTGGGCTTTTGCTTGTCGAGCCAGTCAAAGATTTCAATCCATTCCTTCTCCTCGCTTGATCTTCTTCTTTCTAGTTTCTGTGGTGGAAGTAGGCCTATAGGAAGCACCGGTTTCTTCATAATGTTCTCTAGTAGATTTAAGTACTCACCTTCATACTCAGGGCAGCTACGAATCGCCAAAAGTTGACATGCACTCAAAGATTTAGCAATCCTCTCCCCGTCCATTAGTCTGGAAGCATTTCCTCCATAGACGGCCTCATATACAACTGTAGCCCTAAAACTCTTGTAAGCTAATGAGGAAGGAAAAGTCACCCACTCAGGAGGAGAGGTAAGACTTTCAGGAGAAGTTCTGATTCTTTTTGGTTCCTCAGCAGCCAAGACTTCTGGAGGCCCAAGGAAAACATATGTAGAAGCAGAGAAAACTGAGAAATAGATTGGAGGGACATGGTGCTCTTTTGCGATTTCAGCTGCCCAACAAGGGATATTATCGTAGATTATCCAGTCTGGTTGCTGCTCTGAGATGAACTTCTTGAAAGGGTGGCGAAGGAGGTCGTGTTTAAGTTTGAGATACTGGATTTTCTCAAAGGGGATATCCACGGTGGCCTCCGCACCTTGGGGTAAGAGGTCATCTTCTAAAGCTGGCAACGGAAAATCAACGAAATGGATAAGAGGTCTTAATGTTGGAGGAACTCTGGGGAGTCTTTGGATGTTTCTTGGGGTTGATACGAAGGAGACTTTGATTCCAGCATTAGCTAAGGCTAAGGAAAGTTGAAAGAAGGGAATTAGGTGTCCGAAGGCCGACCATGGAACCATCACTACGTGTACTCCTCTAGCCATTCTTCAGTCTTTTAGGAATTCGGACAGCCTGTGTTGGAGAAGAACAGAAAAATGGAAATTGATAACAAAGTGATTGAGAAGTAAAAAGATAACTTTCTGAATACTTGAATTCATTGAAAAAACATA